GGACAGAGATGGGCTTCTCTGGATGGCTGTAGGGGACAGAACTAGGGGTAATGTTTTCTTCAAACTGTAGTAGAGGACATGTAGGTTGGAGATGAGGATAAACTTTCTGACTATGAGGATGGCCAAGTGTTGGAGCAGGCTACTTAGAAAGCCTGTGGAATCTTAATCCTTGGAAGTTTCAAAGGGCAGCTTGTCTGGGATGGTCTCGTGAGGGATGATCTTGCCTTGAGCAGGGGGATGGATTAGGTTCCTTTCAGCCCCACTTGCCTGTAATACATTTATAATGGGGTAGCCAATGAGTAGCACAGGCAGCCTCTGTGTAAGGCATGTGGCAGATTAGGGAGGGAGCAAGAAGCAGAGCACTTGATCGGGTTGAAGGAGATTAGAGTGCCACTTTGGGTGTGGTGCTTACCTTGAGGCACACCTGGCAAAAAGGTTGGCCCATGGTGACTTAAAGGAGCTGTCGTCTTCCATTTGGGTTGAAACTGGAATCCTATTAAATGGGTACAAACAGTGTTTCAAGTTTTGCTTTCTATTTAGTAAATAAAAACTCCCCATCTGGTTTAAAAACAAACAAACAAAAACCCCAACCCCCCCCCCCCAACTTGCTCAGTGTTTGCTAACATGGTACAAAGCATAAAAATACACTCATTCAGATTCTGGAAGTTAAATTTCATAATTGCTCAGATTGGACCAGTCCAGAGCCAGCACCTAGGGCCCATCTGGTGGGGTGCTGCATTCACGTCATGCTCCAGACTGACTCCTTTTGATACATGTGCAGCACTGGGCCCAGCCCAGCGTTTCTCTCAACCCATGGGTTGAGACCCAAAAGGGGTCACAAGAATATATGAAATTGTCATGAACAAACTTTAAAAGTAGATCAACAAACATTAAAAATGGATTCTCTTTTAAAGGAGAAAAATGTAAGAAACTGTGGCTTTTCCCTTCCAGCCTGCATGGGGCTGCTTGGGGGGCCCCCCTCTGCCCCACACACCCACCCCCTCCCCCACACACTCGAGGCTGGGGCCTAGGGGTGGGGGGCAGTGGCTCAGGAGAGAGGGGCACTGGGTTGGGACTGCCCATCAATGTTTACAAATGGGTCTTGGTACAGAAAAGGTTGAGAACCACTTGTAAAGCTCACACTTCACATGTAGCACATGGGGCTGGGGCTAGCATGTAGGGTCAGTCCAGGAACCAGTGGGCAGGATCATAAGGCTCCTGTGGACCATATGTTTGACATGCACCTTAAATGAAATGTATAGATAAGTGTGTTCTCCTGACCAGCAAAAAAAGTGCCATATTTAGTAAATATATCTATGTATTTTAGTAGATCTGAGAATCAGTCTTTTCAGAAAATAGAGAAAAGCATAAAAGCATTGAGGCAAAACAAGATTAAACTTCACTATATAAAGTAGAGGTGCACTGTTATATTGGTCCACATTGGATTGGCACCAATAAAAGGAAAAATGACATTATCAGCAATTGGCTTTTTTTGGCTAGTACACCTGATAATGTCACCAGTAGTTGCTGTGTGCATGCTCGCAGCCAGGAATGCAGCCTGGCAGCTTGGAGAGCAGTGTCCAGCTGGTAAGTCTGGGGGGGGGAAGGGGCATGGAGCAGGGAAGGAGTGTGAGGGGGTCAGATCAAGGCCCCCACAGTGAGGGGGAGGGAGTGGAGAAAGCACTGCTCAGCTGGGGCGGGGTGTGGGACAGAGCTGTGGGTGGTTCGTCTGGGGCGGGGGCGCAAATCCCCACCACCGTGTGCATGTGCCCCTGGATTTCTGTGCAGGGTGAAGGTGGGCTGTGAGGTCAGGGCCAGGAGCTGCACCAGTCTCTTTATGGTGGGGAGGGGGGAGTTTGCTCAGGGCTGGGGTGGGGCAGGCAGTGGTGGTGCTGGGAGAGGTTGCTATGGGTTGGGCTATGGCCTCTTCAAAATTTGCCATAACCCTCTCCCCCTGTCTCCACCCCTTCTAGCACCGCTACCACTCACTTTGCCCCCGCCTGCCCTGAGCACAGCTGCGGCCCAGCCCTGCCGCCAGGAAGAGGCTGGCGCAGCCCACCCTCGCCCTGCACACAAATTTGGGGTGCACATGCTCCCCCTGCCCCCCTGGGAGTGTGTGCAGCAGTGGGGAGCTGTCCCCCCTGCAGCCCCTGGACAAGCTGCCCCCATGGCTCCGTTCTGTGCCCTACCCTGACCCGCCGCAACTGGGCAGCTCCCAGCCCTCCCATGCCCCTTCTGCAACACCCCCCACAGAGTTACCTGATGCATGCTGCTTTCCAAGCTGCTGGGCTGCATATCAGCTGTCAAATCAGTACTGGCCAATATGGCTGGTTAATAATTGGCCGTTGGTATTGGCCAAAAAATCTTTATTGGTGCAACCCTAACATAAAGCATCTTGATGAAAGTCATCATAGATTAGCACTTCTGGCCACATCTTATTCAAGCATACAATTAGGGATGTAAATATTGTTAGAAAAATTATCCATGTTAACCTCCTCTAATTTAGGGGTGCACTGATAGAGATTTTTGGGGCCAATACTGATAGCAGATATTTAAGGAGGCTTATCAGCCAATACTGATCCGATTTCTGATACAGCTGCTTCCAGCTGGTAAGTCTGGTGTGGTGGAAGGGGAGAGTGGGCAAGGAAAAGAGCATGGGGGTGCAGATCAACAGCCCCCACAGTGAGCGAGGGGGCAGGGGCAGGCACTGCCCAGGTGGGGTGGGGGGGCAGAGCTCTGCAGCCCCAGCTCAGCAACTGGTGCCTTCTGGGTCTGGGGGGGCACCCAGGGTCCCCCTGTAGCCAATTGCTGGGAGGGGAGGGCTCAGGGCCCTCCCTCCATGCACTCGGTGGTGGACCTGGAAGTGGCCCGGAAGTACTTCTGGGTTTGCTGCTGAGCACGTGGCCCCTCCCGCCGCACTCCTGTGGGACACTGCATCTGCCCCACCATTGCAGTGTTCGTGAGCTGTGCCTGGTACCTCGAGGTATGTAGAAAAAAACATTTAAAGCTGTGTCTGTGGCTAAATCGCTGATTCTCTGAATTAGCATTCGGATTCAGCCAAATTGAATCGGGGACAGTGATCCAAATCAACGAATTAAATTAGTGTCCCTGATTTGGGCCAAATTTGAATTGAATACATCCCATTTCACACACCCTTACTGTGCAGGGCTCTTCTTAGTGGAGGCTGGGCTTGAAGTGGGTACTGGGCTCAGAGCGGGTGCCGGTGGCGCTGGGAGGATCATGCATCCACTCCAAATTTCACCGGTGCTCCACTCCCAGCACTGCTGCCGTCAGCTGCCTGGTGTAGCCCCAACTCTTCCCGGGGTGCGGGTGGCTATGGGGTGTTGAGTTGGGGCTGCGTTGGACAATGTTACCAGATTTGCCCATCACTTTGGGGTGTGCTCA